CCGGCGCCGCCCCCCGCCGGCCGTGCCGTCGGCAGCGGGAGATGTACGAGAAGGTGTTTGAGAAGAACGCCGACCGGCACAGCGACTTCTCCCGCCTGGCGCGTGTCCTCACCGGCAACACCATCGCCCTCGTCCTGGGAGGCGGCGGTGCCAGGTGGGTGCCATGCCGTGCCGCGCTGGGACCCGGCGGGGTGGAGGGTGCCCATCTCATCCGTCTTCTCCTTGCTCTTCCGCGGCCGCCCAGGGGGTGTTCCCACATCGGGGTGATGAAGGCGATGGAGGAGGCGGGCATCCCGGTGGACATGGTGGGCGGCACCTCCATCGGCGCCTTCATCGGCGCGCTCTACGCCGAGGAGCGCAGCGCCGTGCGCACCAAGCAGCGGGCACGCGAGTGGGCCAAGGTGGGTCCTCCCTTCCTCCTCCCTCCTTCCTCCTCCTCCTCCTTCTTCGCTTCTTATTCATCTTCCTTCTCCTTCTCGTTCTCTTTCTTTTTCCTCCTCCTGCTCATCCTCCTCCCTTCCTCCTCTCTCCTTCCTCCTTCTCCTCCTTCTTCTCTCCTTGTTCATCTTCCTTCTCCTCCTCCTTCTCTTTCTTCTTCCTCCTCCTCCTTCTCTTTCTTCTTCCTCCTCCTCCTTCCCCTTGCTCCTTCTTCCCCTTGCTCCTTCATCCCTCTTCATCCATCCCTCTTCATCCATCCCTCTTCATCCATCCCTCTTCATCCCTCTCCTCCTCCTTCTTCCTTCTTCCTTCTTCCTTCTTCCTTCTTCCTTCTTCCTTCTTCCTTCTTCCTTCTTCCTTCTTCCTTTTCTTCCTTCTTCCTTCCTCCTCCTCCTTCTTCCTTCTTCCTCCTTCTCTTCCTTCTCTCCTACTTCCTCCTCCTCCTCCTTCTCCTCCAGTGCATGAATTCCGTGTTCGAGACCGTGCTGGACCTCACCTACCCCATCACCTCCATGTTTTCGGGCTCAGCCTTCAACGCCAGCATCAACAAGGTCTTCCAGGACAAGCAGATCGAGGTGGGCCACGCGGACCACACCCCAGCACACACCCACCCGTGGTGGGGGGTCCACCCCCGACGTCCCCACAGCGTCACCCCCCCCATCGTGTCCCCGCAGGACCTGTGGCTGCCCTACTTCAACGTCACGACCGATATCACGGCCTCGGCCATGCGGGTGCACACGGACGGTAAGAGCTCCCCGGGGAACCGGGGAAGCTCTCTGGTGCCACCACGTCCCCCCTGGTGAGGACCCTCCTCACCGGCATCTCGAAACGGTGCCGCTGCCCCATGGGGGAAGGTTTGCCATGCCCGGCATGGCAGGGAAGGGGCAGTGGTGGCTTCCCAGAGCCACGTGGTGCTGGTGACCCACCACGTCCCTACGTCTTTGGTGGGGTTGGGGGCAGAATCGGGGTGTGGAGCCACATCTGAGCGTGCACGTCCTCTCTAACACAGCTGCTCACCACTAACCCCAGTAACCCACGCTCACGGCATGTGGAGCTCGGGGACGCGGTGGCAGTGCTGGGGATGACGTGGTGGTGGTGGGGATGACAACATGGTGGTGGGGATGATGCCATGGTGGTGGTGGAGACAACATGGTGATGGTAGAGATGTGATGATGGGAATGGCGTGGTGGGGGTGAGGATGACGCGGTGGTGGTGAGGATGACGCGGTGGTGGTGGGGATGACGTGGTGGTGGTGAGGTGGTGGTGGGGATGACACGGCGGTGGTGGGGATGACGCGGCGGTGGTGGGGACGTTGCGGTGGTGACGCGGTGGTTGTGGGGAGGACGCGGTGGTGGTGGAGGATGACGTGGTGGTGGTGAGGATGATGCGGTGGTGGTGGGGATGACGTGGTGGTGGTGAGGTGGTGGTGGGGATGACACGGCGGTGGTGGGGATGACGCGGCGGTGGTGGGGACGTTGCGGTGGCTGCCCCTCCTCCTCGCCTGGTGCCGGAGCTCACCTGGGACATTGAGCCGTCCACGGGGCGCACGCGGTGGCCCGTCTGCAGCCTGGCTCTCGCTCTGCCTCTTCCTCTGCCCTCTTAACGCCGACTAACGCCAACTCACCACCCCATAACCCTCCGGCGACCACCTCGCCCGCCCGTCCTCCCCCACCCCGGCGCAGCCAAGGCCCTTTCCCTTGGTCTGGGGGCTACAAACATCCCACCGACGCGGTGCCAGCAGACTGCCTCACCCCCCGGGGGGCGCTGA